TGCCCAGCTTAAGCCATTACATAAAATGTCAATTGTGGCATAGGGGCATTATTCCTTGAATAATTTGCATTTTCCTGTTCTTGTTCTTTGTGTTTCCATTGCTGTTGGAAATGTATCTGGTCCCTGGTTGCTCTAGTTACTCGTAATGATGCTCCACTCCACAGACTCTGCCTCTAGGCTTGGGAGTCCATAGAAAGCCAGGCCTGGAACTTCACCCCTTACTTGACCTGTGTTGTTGGAGTGCCCATTTGAGCTCTGCCCTGGCCATGCCTGTTCTTGGCCATGTACCTTGTTGCTACAGGTCCTGACCTATGCTGACGTGACCCTGACTGATCACTGTGGTCCTGCTGGGTCATCACTGGCTGATTTTGATGATGCTTATTCTCAATGGACCTGATCCTGATCCTGACCTTACATATTGATTCCTCAAATCTGACATACAGATTGATTCCTTGGTTTCATCCTTGGGCCAGCCTCATCTGCCCATAACCAAAAACATGAGCCTGGAGTGAACCCAGAGGCAGAAAATCTTCAATTTTCATTTTACTTTAGTTGTCAAAGAACAAAATAAGTTGTGTAACATAAAATAGTTGGATTTTAGTGCAATATACAATGCAAATCTTGGGATAGGATGGATATTTAGGGAAATGGTAACTGGGTAGAAACCTTTAATTCATTATGTCTTCTTCCTAGAAGCGCTATGAGAAGTTCTTCAGCAAAATCAGTTTCTTCTAATCATTTTAAAAGTAGGATTAATCAATTAGTGTAATGCTATTCAACATGACAAATGTAAGAGGATTAGGCCCAGCCTTGTTCAAAGACACCAAAACCATTATATACAGAAACTAAATATTGCAATAGAGAATAAGGGTATTTGAAACCAAATCTACTGATTCTGCTTTGTGCTTTATTCCTAACACTTCTCTGACTTTCTTAATGGCAAAGCTTTTGCAATTTTCTTATCATGGATATCTTTAAGACTGCAAGAACCATTTTGAATTTTAACCTCAAGGAAGTCAAGTCTTTTTGAAACTTTTTGAGAGCATCTCAAAACTACGAAAAACCTAGAAATCAGTATCACCTGCAGGACATGTGAGCCACTCCAAGTTAAGGTCCAGCTCAACATGCTTATTGATGGTTTTGCTGGAGGGGACAGGGAGAAGCTGTCTCCAGCATAAACTTCTCAGAAATGGGCATGAGGCAATTGAATTCTGACAGACATTCTCAGCTTGCTAATTTATGCAATATTTGAAACAATGCAGGTTTAGGCTCCTGAAAAGCAAGAAAGAGATGAACTAGATCACTCTGAAATGAAGTTGAATGCTTAGTATATTATTGTGGGTTTTTTGGTGAACATTTCTGTCTCAATGACCTAAACCTTAAATATGGTTCACAATGAAAACAACCAACAAAGTTCTTCACTGCCTGTTTCAGTGACTTCCAGAGTACTAAAATTAATCCCTTTTAAAATGGGAAAGCCACATGGTGGCAGGAGAGAACAAGGCATGTAAAAAACCTGCACTGCTAAATGCTTCCCTCAGATTTAAATACATAATGTTTCCTTCTACAGCACAGCTGAAGGTTTGTGGCTGTATTTTTAAATCTAAGAAGCACTAATGTAACTCATTAGTTGCAATGTTTAAAAAAGTGTCCATGACTTCTAAGTTTCTGATACTACTCACCAAGTTCACCATGAATTATACAGTAAATGTTAATAATACAGTAACACTAGAAATTATGTAGTAGAGTTAAGGTATTGAATCTGCAACATGATTTCAGAATGTCTACACTGTAATATATTCCCATAGCATCAGAGATGCAGTGACTAAAAGTGATCTTCACACAGCTATTTTCACTGACTTGACAAATTCCATAATAAAATTTTTCTTCTAATCTGAACATTTCTTCAACTTCAATATATTTTAAAATGTTGAATCTTACTAAGAACCATCCACAAGATTTTTAGGACATTTGATTAAATGGGAAAGAAGACACAAAGAAATTCAATAGTATACGATTCGATTCTCTTATCTCCATACCTATCAGTGCAAGAACTTTCTTAGGACTGTAAACAGTGCTGTAAAGTTTCTGAAATCTTGATGTCCCTCATCATAGCCCTTAGTCACACCACAGTCACACCCAGCTCTAAATACTAACTGGAGCAGCATAAGCTTCTCACCCTCTCAGAGGACAGGCTTATGTCTCTCTAAATTCTGATTTATTGGATTTTTTTTTTCTTTTTTGGTATATTGGATTCTTTTAACGTATTGACCACCAGTGTGGATCACACTGAGTTTTCTAATAAAGAGCTGTTTTAGTGATTAACTGACCTGACAAGAAAGCATTCACAAAAATCTGAAGCTTTGTTGCAACTGAGTAGTTTTCACTTCCCTGTCTGTTCTCTTTCTATATTCAGCTTTCATGGCTGAACTTCTCAGTTTCATTTTAAGTCCATGTTATTAGTAGTAATTTTGACTAACTTGCTTCTCACGTTTTTCCACTCAAAAAACCAAATCATTTTTTGTTTGCCTTCCTTTTTCCCAATATATGCAGAAAAGGCAATAATACAAGAGCTGTGCACTAATCTGTAGAGAAAACCTTCACCGCTCTTAATATTTTCTACTTCTGCATTTTCTAAAACATTCATCCTTAATCAGACTTTTACTTGAATCTGAAAGAATTTGCATTCCTATGTTGTTTCTGTGCAATCTGTTATCTTCCAGGTTATTCCTTTCACCCAGGCATTGTAGGCAATTTTTTCATTTAGTCCTGTTAATTGTAACACTAAGAGTTCTATTACTGCAGCCTTAACTGTCTTCACAATGTGTCTACTGCTCTACTTCCTAGAAAATGTTCTGGTGGTTTTAAAAATTTTTTTTTTCTTTGTTATAATGCAGTTTCCCTATTTCTGCTCACAAATAAGGATCTCTGATTTCCCTTGTGCTACTCCTTAAATTACAAGCTGACTGTAAATATTCACAAACTTCTATTGTTTTGATCCAGATATCTGTCATAACTCTATTACCATGATGCTTACATAAACATTTTGATGTCAAAAAGCAACAAATAGTGTAAGGCTGATGCTTTTTCTTTATGTTCTTTTCTGTCCTTCTTGTATATTGGCTGTATGAACTAAAAATTCCTCAGACTTTCCTTCAATCCATTTAATACAATTTAATGCATCCACTTTGAGCAACATGATCCTACTGCTACAGTAAATGTGAAAAAAATCCTGATGTAAACCCATAGAACGTTCACAGCAAGTTTCAGGCTGGGAAATACTGAAATGTTAAGAGATTAATGTTAGAAGATCATTAATTTTTACAAATGTGAGAAATTCAAACTATCTGGTCACCTAGTACTTCATGTTCTAAGCAGTTTTGCACTGACTCCACATCATGTTCCCTGTACTTCAGTGTTGTCTGAGGTGATTTGACTCAGGTGACTAAAGTGGCCTCTCTTAGCTCAGCCTTCTGCCTTGCTGTGTCATGAGAAATAGCAGGACACTGAAACCACAGAGCAGACTTCATAAACAAAGGCAAAAGGGTTAGGGAAAAGAAAAGAAAAGAAAAGAAAAGAAAAGAAAGGAAAAGAAAGGAAAAGAAAGGAAAAGAAAAGAAAAGAAAAGAAAAGAAAAGAAAAGAAAAGAAAAGAAAAGAAAAGAAAAGAAAAGAAAAGAAAAGAAAAGAAAAGAAAAGAAAAGAAAAGAAAAGAAAAGAAAAGAAAAGAAAAGAAAAGAAAAGAAAAGAAAAGAAAAGAAAAGAAAAGAAAAGAAAAGAAAAGAAAAGAAAAGAAAAGAAAAGAAAAGAAAAGAAAAGAAAAGAAAAGAAAAGAAAAGAAAAGAAAAGAAAGGAGGAACTCAAATGACATGAAGCCTCTATTTTCTCAGGAGAATCTGATCGTATCTCATGTTTCTAGGAAGTCACTATTTTGATGTAGCTTGAACAACAGATGGATGTGAGAGCATGTCAGCACTGATGAAGTGCTAAATCTGGCTGCATTGCCAGGCCTGATGTGTACCTGCTTAACGAAGCAGCAACCAAGAACAACCAAGTAATCTGCTTGTATTTTTAGGTGGACTCTTATGCTTCCAGCTACATGACTGATGTGTTGACAAAAATATTAAATCAGTGAGAATTTTAACTGTTCATACCAACACTTGAAAGAATTATCTCTATTTACATAAAAATTGAATTAGTTAAGATTTCTGTATGTTCTAATACTTCTCAAACAGCCTCCAAAAGAAACGCAGTTCTTAGAGATGACTGCCTACTGGAGGTAGAACTAAGTCCATTAATAAGAAATTGAGAGGGACAGCTTGATGAGGACAGAGGAGCTCCTTGATGGACCTCCTGATCTACAAGGACTTCAGTACTGTGAGTAAAAAGCAGTGGAGAAAATATAAAAAATTAATAATGAGGCAGAAAATTCATGCACAGACTCATAGAAAGGAAAATACTGATCAGGGAGCTTGTACTAAAGTTTGCCTGGGTGTTTTCTCACCTATAAGTTGTGAAATACTTGACTCCTTGTGGCCTAGAAGTTCATTTGCAGTGCTCATGTGCTCATGAGATAGTAAATCTCCTCCTCTGTTCTGTGGTGTTGTTGTTGAATAGTGAGTGACTCCTATCTCAAGAACATATTGGGAAATACAGCTTCACTTTTTTATGAGTAGATAACTGAAACCACTGCTTTTTTTGTGAGATAATCTCACATTTCTATATTAAATGTCCTATAGCAATTAAAAGCCATTAGAGGGGTGAAAAAGACTGGTAGGTAAAGGATGGGTTAAAGTCTAAAGGGTTTCATCTATTGCTTACTACTTGCTGCAAACAAGATCTTGCTAAAGTTTTCTTTAATTTCAGTGAAGAACTCCTATTGAATGAAAACCTCCTGAGCTGTGGACTTTTCTCCTATTCAGGAGAAAAAATACTTTCTGATAAGAAGCAGGAATAACAAACACATATGCAAGTTTAGAGATATATTCTTCCATTAGCAGCTAAGGATTTTACTTCCCATGTTTATTTCAATTTACAAGCTAAATTAATACAATGCACATATCCTTCACTGTGACACAATCAGACTTCAAAAATTAATTTATGGTTAGTATTTGTAATTTCTTTGTAAAGATGAGTAATGTAGCTATTTAGCAGCTGTCCAGAATAAGGAATATGAAATCACAATATGCTTCATAATTAGTAGTAATCTTGATCTTATTACAAATTATTGACTTAAGAATTTACAAAGCAAGTATAAAAAATGTTAGGTACAATTGAAATAAATAAAACTTCAAAAGCAAACACTTGATGCCATGAAATTTTCACAGTGAGTTTACATGCATTCACAAAATTAAAGCCCTTGCAAATACTAATTTTATTGGTTTCTTATGGCAAAGTCTCAATTTTATAAGGGCTTTTATTTGCAAGGTGAAGTTCTTATGATATGAGAGACTTTGTACTACCACCATAATTTTCTCACACATCAAAAATAATAAAAAGGATCTCTCCTTCCTCCTCACTTGAACCCGATCTGATTCTTCCCCAGTTGAATAGACATCTTGGAAGCCTAACTTCTTTGAATCAAAATTTTTGCGGATACTTGAAGTATATATCAAATATAATCAAATATTTGAATTATTATTTGAATATTAATACATCAAATTGCCATTGAAGTATGCAATGTGTTTGCCATCAAATGTAGCATACAGTCTGCAGTGATGTTTGCCATACAACACAATTCTCATACCTCCTGCTTCTTCTGGGTGTCACACTCCATGGTTGACTTGTTCATACCTACTACCCCAAGACAATGCAGTAAATGAGCTTGACTGTGTAAACAACTCTTATTAAGTTCAAACCTAAATAAAGTAATGAATAAAAATAGATTTAAATTTTCCATTGACCCAGAAGAGTTTTGTGTCATTATTACACTTTAAAACCATTCTTACCCATATAAAGAATTTAACTTCTTAAAACTTAATATTGTAAAAGGATTTTTGAACATGTAACAAATTATTTCCTGAAGAAAAACTTATTTTTAAGCTTTCAAAGTCTCTCTTTTCCATATGCAGTTCTTTATTGTTTTTTGCACACAGACTACAGAAATCAGAAATAAGTTTGATGGAATGTAAAAATGCTGTATTCCTTACAATGTGAGCTTTTAGCCGCCTTGCTGAGGTTCTCAGCAACAGTGAAATAGTGCTCATTTCATGATGTGAATATTAACCTATGCACTGAACAAGTTTGCTAATGTCAATTCTTATAAAACGCAGAAGAAAAAAACACAAAAAGCTTTTCTTTCTCTCCAGATTTCCCTGGACCACTCAGTAAATGAAACTGAGAGCGGGGAGAAAAGACTGCTGAAGCAATGACACAGATTATTCACTCAGTTCCTTGTTAGAGATTTTCTGTGCCTACTAGAGGTTCTTCATGTTTGGTTACAGCCAGACTTCTTTTCTTGTCTTCCTCTGTTACAGTCTGACTGATCTGTTCAAACAGTTTTGATATCTTGGCAAACCTCAGGTGGTTCTGAAACCTTCGTGCAGCAAAAGCATAAAGCAGAGGGTTAATACAGCTACTGATGAATACAAGTGCTCCAGAGATGTACACTCCTTTGTCTACAAATTCTTCCAGTGCCAAAGACATCTCCTCATTTGAGAGTTCTATTTCAATTGAAATAACATCCAGAATGTTAAAGAGATGGTGAGGGAACCAGCACAGAATGAAAGCCACCACAATACTGGCAATGAGACGTTCCGATCGCTGCTTGGATTGATAAGTCATTCTGCTTATCCTTCTTGCAACACACACATAACAACTGCAAATAATTAAGAAAGGGATTACAAAACCTGCAAGGGTCTCCAGCAGAAGATACGACACTTTCTGTCTATTAGAAGAGTAGTTGCGACACGTGCATAGAAGTTGACCGTTCGTTTCTTCTGTCTCTTGAAATGGGATGACAGAAATGCCAAAGGCAATAGACAGGAACCAAATGAGGAACACAATCAAAGAAATTTTTTCTTTTCTTCTGTATGTTTGAATTGTGAAAGGATAAAACACAGCCAGTAGCCGCTCTAAGCTAAGTGCTGTAATCAGAAATATACTGGCATACATGCTGCAGTAAATAATGAAAACCAGCACTTTGCAGAAAATTACTCCAAAAACCCATGAGTCAGCAAAAGAGTAAATCCAAATTGGTAAAGTGATCAGTACAAGGACATCAGCAATGGCCAGGTTCAAGATCAGCAGGACTGAAAGAGATACTTTCTTCATTTTTGTACAAACAGTCCAGATGACTATGCAGTTCCCAGGGGTGCCAATTATAAATGACAAGCCCAGTATTATGCAGACTACTGACCTCACAATATTCCATGTTGAGCTGCCACTGCTTTCCTCAGCTTCACTCATTCTGGAAATTCTTCCGTTCTTGGTTGCTCTATGCTCTGCTTTTATTCTGCAGGTGTTGGTGAACTACTTAAAAGTTCTCCTCTAACTGATACTCTGAAGACTAATACAGACTATGAGCTCACATCCTCATGCTCACACTTACAGACATCTGACCACATATGGCAGTTCCTGTTGTTTAGGAGGATGGGTATTTTTGCATACAAAGCAAAAAAAAAACACAGTGTGGGACCTGACTTTGCTGTTAGTTATACATCCATTGCGCTTCAGCAAATTTTATGGCATATTGGTGGTCTTTCTAAAGTGCCCCTATTTAAGGAAACTTGCTGCTGTTTTGATGTTACTGATTTAATCAACAGCTGTGGGGAGAAAGAAACTCTTTTTCAGCTATTCTATTCTTGCTCCTATGAATAGCTTGGTACTTCATTTTATAAAACCCAAAAAAGCAGGGTGGCAGGTAAACTACAAATGTCCATTATATATTTGACATGAATTTTAAAGCACAAAGAATTGTGCTTACTACCTTCATGTCCTCTTTTTTAGTTCAGTAGAAATCTGTCAATTATATTTCAGAAATGCCCTGGCATAAGGGAAATCAACTCTCTGTACTGTACTGGTACAATAAAGTGGGTAGGAGCTGTGTTTCTAATTCTCTGGGAAATTGCAGTTCTTTACAGAAAAATAACCATCAGAATATTCAGTCTGGATGTAGAGTTAAAGGAGCAAATGCTTCATGTCAGAGAGAAAATACATGACTACATTATTGTCCTGCTGTTCCAGCAATGGGCTATGACTTTTATGATTTTTTCTAGAAAACTTGGTAGTCAGTGTAGTACTGAAATCCTAAATTCTTCTGAGTTTAGCCAAAGAGTATGAAACTATTTTGTTATCCTGATTTCAAAACAAATTTTGAAGTTCATTTCTAAAATATTAAAGGAGGAACTAGAACAGCAAAGCCGACAGAAATATTCAAGAAGTGGAACTGGAAGGGTATTTACCAAAAAAAAAGGTTCGCAGAAACTTTATAGCTTTCTTAAATTTAAGAATGTGATACAAATTATTTCCCTAATTTTACAAACCTGGCAAATGTAGTGCATAGTATTTAGTCAAAAAGTATTTTTCACCATAGAAAAAGGATTGTAGCATCAGCACTCCCAAAGCAGCTTAGCCAGTTTTGCTCCCATAAGAGTATAATGAGATCAAAAGCAAATCCAGAATAACCCCACTGAAGTTAAGTATTATATCTTCAAAATACTATTTGTGTAATACAGATTTTAATTGGGATTTAATCTGATACATGATTCCAGTTCCTTTCATTTCTAACTATATTTAATGAATATCAGGTAAGGGAAAACATGAAACAAGTTGTTTGTATACTGAAGGGAATTTCTGAAAATGACTTATAAAAACTAATGGGAGGAAGTGCTGGGCAGTATTTCTTCTTCTATTGAAATCACATTTACACACATTATTTCTCCAGAAGTACCTTCATAGACTATTTTTAGTTTGTTGCCTGTGGCATATCTAGATTGAACAAAATTGTAGATTTTTATTGGTAAAAGATAATCTAGGATAGATGCTCGGAATCTCTTGTTACCCAGTGCTGCAGGGACTGGCCGGTTCTTTAAGTAAAGCCAATCTAGATTATGATTGTTGTCTCACACACTGATTATCAAGACTTTGACCTCAATTGCAGAGGGCTCAGGTGACTAAAAGCCTACATAACCAAAGACTAGATAGTAAAGAAAGCTACACTGGTTACTAGAAATTCTGCTTTACTGAAAGCTGGGATAATTGCTAAAAATCCTGTGTAGTAGTAAGATACACTAACTGCTAGAAATTGTAGATAACAATAAGGTATGCTGAAAAGTGATTTTTTTATGTCATAATAAAGCTCTAATTGTAGCTACAATCTTGTGCCCAGTCCTCATTCTACCAAGGATCCCTAAAAGGATCCACATGTTGTGTACCATTGTGTGATGTCTCTGTAGGATTTTTTTGATAAAACTTCTGGTGGAAAAGAGCAGTTGTGTGAACAGCCATTGGTATAAGAATAGTTCTAATCCAGTAGGATATGGATGTGGTTGAACTTTTGAAGCATCTGGACTTACATTTTCCAGAAATACGTTTCTGCACTTGACTTGAAGTTTGCTTGCCAGATGGCCTCTGCCTCTGCCTTTCATTTAAACAAGAAACAAATTAATCTCTGAATTGCAGCCACAATCTGGAATTTCTGTTTCAGAAGAATCCCAGAGAAGTGTTGAACTGCTAAGATTTCCTTGAGTAAGACTCTGAAGTCAGGCTATTAAACTAAATATCTCAGACATTAGAGTTAACGTTAGCTCAAGAGCATGTTTCTGGGCAGCTCTATGTAGCTGCTGGATCACTATGAAACCTTCAGACTGTAAGCTGTCTTTAATATTCTCTACAAGTGTCTGACTGTTATTTATCAAATTCAAATTAGTAGTACACAAACTTTATGGACAATTTAGCAAATATTTCCATTAACAGGGGAGCAATATAGTGTAGTCAATAACTGCTAAAAACAACAGTGTCTAAACATTTCAGTATTTTACTCACTCTAGTGACCACATGTGGGTGGGCTTCAATGTATGAATGCATTTGGACTTCGGACCACAGAAGCTCTGTTCTACTTCATCACAGCAGTGAAATTATGCTGCATCTGTAAGTTAAAAAACCAAGCAATTTTTAGGTTTTTGCGTGCATGTATATTATATGTAGTGCAATAAGTCAGCGATCAATACAGGAAACTTTCTGTAAGTCTGTTACTTTTAGATTGGCTAATAACTTCTGAAAACTTGCCAAGCTCAAAAAGTCCATTCTACTGCTATGAAACACTTTCAACAGTATTTGCTTTGCCTTAAATATCAGTTGTGTGTTTCTCTAATCCTTCAAATTATTTATTTTTCTCTAAATGAATGCAAGATCTTCCCTCTGGTGGATGTTCTGTAATTTACACTACCACTGAGCATTTTCAAACATCACTAAATGTAAATTGTAATTGATATTTCCAGCTTTTGAACACTTATTCTGAGAAACAGATTTTCACGTCAAAATGTTTCAAAACCTTTCTTGCCCCAACAGACTGATCACTGACAATCAGAACGTTTCCATGGTGGAAACCACAGAGAAATATTTCCCTTGTAAGGACATGCCAGGTGCATTAGATTAGAGGTGTTATTAAAATAATGGAGAACCGTATTGATAATTCTGACTATAAGAAGGAATAGGAATAACAATTATGCAGAGATGATGGAAAAATTTATACACACCTTTTCTTGACATTATGAATGTGTACAGTTTTAGTGTCCTGTTATAGTACAAGTTTGGGACAATAAATTGGTTACAATTTAAGGCAAGACTGGCCCGTTGTGAATCAGCTACTACAAAGTAGCTACTTGTACACAAACTGTTGCTAGCCAAACTCCTCAAGGATACAGGTATGTCTGGCACAGAGTTTGCTACTGGGTAAATCAAACACACCGTTTACATGCTCTTCCTTTTGAGTAATAATTTACAGATGACAAATATTGCTTGAATGATTTGCTGCCAAACATTACTTCATTTTTCTTTTTTAACTGTTTAGCCAAACCTACTGGAATTTCTACCTTGTTTACTGGGATTGCAAGTCAATATTATTTTGCTATATGATCAATGTCTTTTTTTGTTATTCAGCCGTGATGAATTAAAGTGTTTAGTGGAGCATGTCGTAGTGGAGGACCTGAGATTAAAAACCCACCAACAGATACTGTGCAGTGCCTGAGCAGCAGCCCCAGACAGCAGCTGTTCTGCCCAGGTGGAAGGGCTGTCCGTGCACTTCTGTGTTTGCAACACAGGGAGGCACTAGGAAACCATCCCTTGGTTTTTGGCTCAGCCTGCAGGCCCGGAGGCGTTACCTTTCTCTGCATTGGGTGCACAGCGTTCAAGGCCATGGGTCTCTACTGAACTGACTCTTTTGCATAATAAGGTTGGGTGATTGTGACTAAAATTTCAATAAAATTATGGAGAAAAATCACAACATCTTTTTGTGTCTTTTACATCACATTATTTTCTACATACTTGCATTTTTAGCTCTCTCAGTTCTGTTTTGATACATATGCACTTCCAGTGATACATTCTGTTTTAACTGATCTGGTAAGGACAGCTCCCTCTGAGACAAAAAATAACATTAATTTTAATAATAAATTTCCTTTTCCATGCCTCTGAAGGAAAAATGTTTGGAAAGTTTTGTAATGATATTAACAATTGGTCCTTCCTTGTAGTTTCCATTTGTGTGTTCTCTTTGAAAAGCAGATCAAACTGTGATCTCTTGGGTTGTGAAAAAACCTTGTCCAGCAGATTTGAGCACCTTTCAAGACTTATTTAATTCCTTTATTACACATGCCTTAAGTTTGGTCCCAGTGTGACATGAAGTCTTGATTTTGTGGCCTTGTGTCAGCAGGCTTGATAACTGTGCTGAAATTAGCAGACCGTACTGATTTTATTGGTAGTACAAAGATCTTTCTTCTGCTCTGTAGCAGACAACAATGTGTGTTAGGAATGCCTGTGTGCTCATTCACTCAGTAATTAGCATACCTGACATTCTGTTCTCCATAGCCAGAGAAACCAGCACCCTGTGCCACACTGCTCTTCAGAACAGTCTCATCCAAGCATTTTTAATTTGAAACAAAAAGTAGTCAGGATTCATTCTGAGATGCTACACAGACACTAACAGCTACTTGGTAAACACATAATATACTGTATGGAAAAAGTGTAAGATATGCAAACTTGATGCACAGGTAATGTTTCATCATTCTGTAATGTGAGCTCTTGCTTCTGTAGAACTTTTATATATTAGAAGTGACTATGAACAATGATAACTTCTCCATTAAATGAAGCGTTTTCGCTGGAAGAAAGTGGTAGCACCATTTTCTTAAAACATATAACTATGGAATTTAATAGAATGTAAAGCTAATAGGCTGTAAAATCATCTGATGTCATACTTTTCCTATATTTGACCCTTGTGCCTAATAATATGATCTGGTTTTAGGCAGACTTATGCTGTAGTGTTGAGTCAGATCAAAAAGTACTTTTAGCCCTGTATCTTGTCTCTGGTAGCAGCCACAAGCAGGTGTTTACAGAAGAATGTAAGAACAAGCCATGTGTGTCTATACTTGTCCTACACAATCTCTGGCAATCAGTCAATTATGGGTGAGGAGTTTCTTGGATCAGGGGTGGTTTCTATATGTTTAATAAAGCTTTGTGGACATTTGTTCTGTAGACTTCCTAAGCCTCTTTTTGAACTCAAGTGAACTTTTAGCACTGCAGCTTTGATCCACGCTGTGTGAAGAAGCATCTCCTTTTGTTTGTTTTCTGATCCAGCTGGCTCCCCACAGTTCATGTTGGAAAAACAGTGAAAAGCACATCTGTGTTCATCCTTTCCACAGTCCTTCCTTGATTAAACCCTACATCTGTCAGTCATTTCTTAGTTACAGACTGAAGAGTTCTTACATACATGAATACATTTCCAAACCATCCTACACCCTGTATAGAAATCTCCCATGATTTTCATCATCCCTTCATCCTTCTCACTGTCTCTTCATTCTGGTCTTTTATGTTTCTTTCAGACAGAGGAACAGGCTGGTTCTGAAATTCAGTAGTTCAGTTAAACCACAGTGTGCTGATGAGGGAAAATGAAAGAAATCAAGACACACAGAGGTCAAAGTTCCCTCATCTCCAGTCTGTTTGTCTCACCCTGCTGCAGTGTAACAGTGCTGCAGTGCATACTGCACTCAAACATGTATTTTTTTTTTTTTTCCTAATTGGAGATTAGTTTAGTTTACATTCAAACCACAAAAATAATAATTAGCTTTTGTCTTTCTCAATGCCAGTCTGTGCTCTAAGATTTAGAAGACTTTGTTCCAAAGGTCACTGTGTAATTCTTCCTTCATATACTCCAGATGCTTCACAATCATAGAAATCCTCATGTGATGCAATTACCTTGTAATCCTTAAACCATAGGTTATCCCCTGACTGGTAGAGCTTTGTATCTCTGCTGTGTGTCCTGTTTTGTGCTTAAAACACTAGAAGTCAAGTATAATCTAAAATTGCCATTATTTGGTGATGTATGAAAGGCAGCTTTAATTGCATGTTACATTTTTCTAGGTAGCTTTGTGTCCTGTTATGCCTGGCTGTGTGGGAAGCATCTAATCCTCCTGGTATTGAATGGTATCTCTTTAGCACCTCTTCTTTTCTGACACAGCAAATGTGTGACTCCTCTTTCTCTCATGGTTGTTGTTTTCCTGTCTTCTGAGTTTGTGACTATTCACCAAGGCCTGTGGTATCTCACCATGGTATCACTGAAGCTCTCACTGAAGCTCTGCTGCCCTGGCTCTACTCAGGGTTAGCTGCAGGTCCCTCATGTTGGCCCAGCAAAGTGTTTGCTATGTGCAATACACCCTGATACACAGGGTTCTTTTTTGGCACATTCTGGAACCTGTTAGTGAGTGAAAAACAGACAACATAGCATGGAAAACATGGTTAAGACTCTTGGTACACACTGCTGATGAGTATCCATTGATCAAATTACTAGAGTTTCCCCTTGTCACATCAAATCACAGATCCAGTCACAATCTTTGTCATGTTCTAGTCCTCTGACTGAGGTTTTGAACAATGTTAAGTTCAATTTATAATTTAAGAGATTGACTAGGTTGTTGTCATCATGTAATACTAACTTCTATAAAAGTTTGTAGAGATATTAAGATGACAACTGTAAAGGATATAAAACCAGATTTTACCCATATGTTCATAAAGAACTCACATTTTAGACACTATTAGTCTTTCTGTGTTATCTGAGAACAAGAATCTTGTGTAAATACAACAGAAAAGCATCAGTACTGTCTAGCAGACTCCCAAAATGAAGAAAAATCCAATAAAACAGAGTTAGAGAGCAGCTTTGAGAGAACTGCCTTGTGCAGCTAATCAGTGTATCTTTGCTGCACACAAACACAGCAGAACCATTTTCACAAGTTATGTTAGAATGAGGTCCAAGTAGAAGAGTTGAAATTGCCTCATAATGGTATAACCTTTTGCAGGAACGCTCATGTATTTCTTGCTTTCAGCAGAAAATTTGTTTTCATGTCACATGATAGCAGTACCCGTTTTTTACTGCTTCTTTGGCTTGTAATCGGAGCAGCTTCACATCCAGCTGCCAAGCACTGATAGCCAAATTAATTTCACCATACTGTGAAGAAACTCTTATGAGTGTTAGTCTATTGTCAGTGTAGCATGGCAAGAATATTTACAACATCTCAAGCTGTCTTTAGCATACTAATTTAAAAAAATAAATTCCTATAAATCCATCTTCTCAAAGTAAAATAGCCAGATAGCCTTTGGCAAACTTCCCCTTTCTACTATGTCCACAAGTGTCTCTAAAATAATATTATACAGGTTAAAACATGACAGGGCAGTTCACTGCTGCCTGTTTAAAATGTCCTTTATTCAGTGTTATTACCAGGAAAGTGTTAAATGGAATTTTATTAGAATTTTCACTTTATATTCACTTACTTTCCTAACATAATTATCAAAAGAATTGTCCTGATCCAAATTTGATCATAGCTATGATTTGAACACAAGGATTAAAACACACCTTCAAAAGTCCCTTCCAACCTTAATTTCCCTATAGCTGTATTTTTGCACTGACATATTTGACAGAGCCTCACATGATGCTACTCATGATGCTGCTGATTGAGCCATTTCCCCATGATCAACTCTTCCCAACTGCCTGTGACCCTCAGTCTAGAAGTGAACTGTGTCCTTACAGGAATCATCAAGCAATACTTTTAAACTTTATCTGCCCAAAGGATGGGACAGGAAGTGTCTTGTGCATTCATAGCCAATCTATCCCATACTTTAGAACATGGCAGCAGCCAAACAACAGGTCAAGCATTTCTTTTGTCTTTCTTTTTTTGGCAGCCAAAACTCAGGTCTTAACAATTAATTTTGTTAATCTTCTTTGGTTTTTATGTTAATCAAGAAACTTTGGTAAAATGTGGGTCTGTCCTGTTTGGCCCTTAAGTGTAGTCAGTTTTCCTATTCATATTTAGTTTTTTAATGTGGTAATCTGGATTTAAAGGATAGAAAATAATTGGGTTGTCTACAGACATTTCATCTTCATATCTAAGATGACATTTGCTTTACAGATTCATCATTTAGTGGGATTGCATACCCATTTCAGAGCCAGAGATGTAAAAAAAGAAAAAATCTTTCCATATTCTTTAAACTCAGGTAAACTCTCATTTCTTAATGCACCAACTAAAGAGGAACTCTCAGGTTGTTTCTTACAGGCTGAAGGGAAGTCTCTCAACATATGTGATCAGGGTCAGATGGTTTTCCATCCCTTAGTGTTGGAAAAATTTACCACTGAAAATGAACAAGTAAAACCTTATGGAGACTAAACAAAGACCAACATCCCCTTTGATACACAACTAAATTACTGACACCAGTTTCAGTTCTTCTGGACACACTTGTGTTTCCAGAGATGGATTCACTTTTGTCACTAATCTGTCAGATTCAGAAGCAGTGGTATTGTGTCTCTTCAGAAGTAGCTCTGAGCTAGCAGATTTCCTAAGCTCTGTATTTATTTCCCTGAGACTTCTCTGACACTCTGTCCAGCTGGGATACCAAGCTGGTGTGACACTGGATGAAACTGCTTATTAAACAGTGGGCTCTTGCCTTTTCATTATATACGGACTAGAATCCTGAAATGCTGCTGCTTGACTTGTGTCACTGTGCCCTCTCTAACCACATTCAGTCTTGTAGGACTTGCTAAGCCTTACAGTGACAGCATACCAAATTCTGCTTTTTCTCCAAATCTCTTCTTCCCAGAAAAAAGTACCTTGTCTGCAGATTAAACCACCTCGTCAGCTTTCTGCCTCAGAGGGCCCAAGTTTCTCTGCAGAGCAAAAGGTGTCAGGTTCTACCACTCTCGCAATGTGCTGGGAAGTTGTTGTACTTTGTGGGAACTTGTGCAAGACATAAACTGTCCCTGAGGGTTCAACCTACTCAGCTTGCATCACAACATGGATTATATTTTCAACACTTTTCCTCATATATTCATCCTACACAAAATTGTATCTCCCCATTTCATCTTCCCACGACACTTTTATTTCTTATTTTACTTTAAAGGCCATATATTGCCTAGTTCCAATTTCAAAATTCTTCAGTGATCCAACCCAGAATACCAACTCTGTGTAAATCTTGAGTAAAAGTCACACTAGTTAAGTCTGAGCATTCTTGCTAAAAATTTCTCACTCTCAGATTCTAACAAAATTCTCTTTGGGCAGGAATTCTAAAATTTGGAGTGTTAGAAATTAAATCCTCACAATTTACTATGAAGCTCTATTACATGGATGGTTTACAAGGACAAATTGATTTGCTTTAGCAAAACAAAAGCCAAAGGAGTAATATGATCTCTATCATATGGATTAAAGGTTTGAAGATAGGAGAGATGAGAGTGACTGTTAATCTGTTAATTGTGGTTACCTACCTTGGTTCTGTGTTTGTAGGCTGATGGTTATGTAAGCCTGCATTTCAGTACTCCCACTACCCAATTGCTCTCTTCCCTTTTTTCCAGTCTCTATTTGACACTGTAACCAAATTTAGCCTGAAAGA